AACATCTAAACAATATATATATATATATATATATATATATATATATACACTGTATATATATATATATATATATTGTGTCAATCAGTATTTCAGATGGTGTTGAGTGCTATCTTGATCTGTTGGCGTCACTGCAATCAGATGGCAAAGATCTTGTAAGGACTGCAATTTTTCAGGCATCACATTCAGAAATAGTGCTTATGAAGCAATATAACTGATTCAGAATGTCTGTGTTTCAGATACACACAGGGGAAGGTGCTTCTTTTCCCAGAATCCCAGTGGTCTACCTTGAAGCAGGATTTGCTTTATTAAAAGCGAAACGTTATAGTGATGCTCTTGTGGTCTGTGAGGAGGTCATCACCAGCACTTTGGACTTCATCCCTGAGAGACTGCTGCTTGATGCTGATGAAAAACAAAATGTAGCTGATTCTGATGTTGTTCTTGAACATGTGGACTTTGTTTTATGGGCTGGTGCAGCCCATCTCCTTCAAGCACAAGCCCACTGGAAACTGAAGGACACCAAAGAGGTACTAAACATTTAGTACCTAGCTGTGTTGGCAAACCGTGTTTTGTGAAATGTGTCATAGTTTTTGTTATGTTCTCCTTCTTTCCTTTCAGAGCGATTAATAATTTGGTGAAAGTGTTCATTAAACAGAAAGGTAAGTAATCTCTCTCTTTCCAGTCTTACTGTTGCTCTAACAAGATTGTGTGTTCATAATCATATCCGCTTTTGTTTGTGAAGTATTGCCCGGTACTAAGATCTTTGGAAAAGCAGACTTACAGATATATTTAACTATTAAATATTTTTATCCTGGGGTCTTCAAGGGGTATCTATTAATAACAGATCTACTTTCAAGAGATGAAGTAAGCGGTTTTCCTCTCTTTAGCTTACTGAGGCCACGTTTGATGTGTGCACTTGCTTCATTTACCATTACTTACATGGTTTCATCAAACTTTTAGACTGGAAACAAATACATCTTGGAAACACTGAAGCAATGGTTGAAAGAATGGTGACTTTGGAAGCAGCAAAAGGACAAGCACTAGCTGGTAGAGGGCTCTGCTTTCTGGAAAGAGGTGAATTGAAGGAAGCCCTGAGAGATCTTCATCTCAGTTTCCAGATGACACCAGGTATCTGATATGCTGTTATTATAGTGAATTTGTGAGACTTTTTTGTTGTGATTAGTCCGATACAGTGCGCTGTCCATCTCAAATTTACATGTGGAGTTGAATTTCACTAGGTTGTAAGAATATGTGACCCTGGACCACAAAACCAGTCATAAGGGTCAATTTTTTTAAATTGAGATTTATAAATCTGAATAAATAAGCTTTCCATTGATGTATGGTTTGTTATGATAGGACAATATTTGGCCGAGATACAACTATTTGAAAATCTGGAATCTGAGGGTGCAAAAAATCAAAATACTGAGAAAATCGCCTTTAAATTTGTCC